ACAGCTTCCTCAGGCAGTAGACGTTCCTTGTTTTCAGTATGTGTCAATATAAATGCATTAGGAAAGAGCTGTTTTCATTTCAGAATGATCTGGACCTGATCGAAAAATATGCTGTTTTTGCTGACCAAGGATACTCAAAGAAGATTTTCACTTTTACAAAAGAAATGTTCCTATACTCATGTAGGTCTTTAGTAAAATTAAAGCAGCTTACCACAGACTTTCAGAAAGCAAGAGATACTCTTTGCTTTAGACATTTTGACTTACTAAAGGTTTCATAGGAACACTATATTTTCAAATAATGGGGGAAACCTGTATATAGTTGTATTAAGTTCTCATGGAACGTGTATAAAAAATGAATCAAAGTAATTAAGTCCTTACAAATTTTAAAGATTTGATATTTTTCAGATCATACTCAATGATTGCAATGCTAACAAATTAGAAATCAAAAAGATAAGAAGACACACATTTGTAAACTTTAACGGTTACTTCTAAATAATCCCTGTGTCAGAAACCATGGGTATTAAAAAGTGTGTTAAGTAAAAAGCACTAGCTGAGCTGAGCACTAGTAAAGCTGTTGTTAAAGACTTGTACACACCAAAAGATGTATAGGTGTGCACGCGAGATATAGTGAGGAAAATGACTTCCCAAGGATACTAGGGAAAGAATTTTTATTCAAGCGGAGATAAAGATTAGGTTGTTTACCAAATCAAAGGACTGGCAACTGCATAGGGAATGAGCTCGACTTGGTCTTAGTCTATTTGGTCAGTCTTTGTATTCAGATTTTAAAGTTGGAGTTTATGCTCAAGTGAGTACTTATTCATGATACTATTGGGGCTGATTGGTTTAGGAATTAGTGTCTTGTTTGGGAATTACTGGAAAATATAGATCAGGTATAGACTGTGACAGATTACGGTGGTTGTAAATGTGAATTATGCACAGATTGTAGGTATTACAGGATGCTATTGCACTTAGAGGTAAACAACAAAGAAATACTATGTATCATAATGTGTGATAGTGTATTCAGAGGGAAATTTATAGTCTTAAAAATATATGTGCTACTTAGAGGGAAATTTATAGCCCATCAGGTTCATATTGAAAAAGAAGCCTGAAAATAAATAAGCTTAGCATCCAAATTACGAAGTTAAAAAGAATATAAACTTCCAAACCCCTAGAAGGAAGAAAGTAATCAACAAAAGGCAGAAATGAATGATCTAGGGAAAAGAAGTTATAGTAAAATGATCAACAAAAATAAAAGTTTTGTTCTCAAAGCTCTAAGAAATTTACAAATCTCTGGCAGAATTAAGAAGAGAATGGCAGAAGCCACAAAGAAATAATATCAAGAATGATACAAAGAACAAAACTACTTACACAGGCAAGTTTAAGAATATTAAAAAAGAATGTTAGGAATAGCTTAATGCTAATGAGCCCTAAGGTATGAGAAATGCCCACATTTGTAGAAGGTGTGAGTTATTAAAGAGTGCGACAATACAGAGCTAAAGCAGCCAGAATTCCACTGCCCTTCCCATCCATCTTGTCTATTGCATCATCCCTCGTCTGTGTCATGAAACACGGTCTCCATAAATATTTGTTTGAATTACTGATTAAATTCACATATAGCAATTGTTACCTATCAGCGTATTTATTTTTATATGTATTTTAAAACGCAGTTCATTTGTATGTTGTTTTTTTAAGCACCAATTACACAGCTACTTTCATAGATATTAGATTTAAAATGAAGTGTAAAAGACAGACAGCGCCTGGCATTTTTTTCACCACTTAAAAAAAAATCTATGAGTTTTAAAGCAGCTAATCTTATCGCAGTTTCTTTGGCAATGAGAGGGATAATACGCTCTTCCTACAGCCATCCTTTTGTGAAGGAAAAAGAAAAAGAGATTTTTCTAGCAGTTCTCCTGGGACAGCATCCTATCCACATGGAGTTTGATTGTTATTAGCAAGGACTGGAACAGCATTACTATTATTTTATAATGTTATTAGACAAAATTAGCAAGCCCTGGGGACTGTCGTATATGGCTCAGGACCCAGTTTCCTGGCACCAATCAGTGTGGAAACAAAAAGGGAAAAATAACACGAAGCATCGTAAAGAAAGCTGTTCCTCCGGCAGCAGACCTCATCTGAAAACATAAATACGGCTCTGGCCCCCAAACTGTGTAGAGATCAGCTACAAGTCCTTTCTGACCACCAGTTTTATCTTCCCTTGGACGGAATGACTTTCCTAAAACTTTTCTTCAAGAATGCATGGGTGGTGGGTTTTTTTAGTGCTTGTATGTCTGGGAATGTTGTTGTTGTCTTTCCAAGTGAAGGACAACCTATCCAAGGTGAAAATTCTCATGGACCTCACTCCCTCATTCTTACATACTAGTGTTAGGTGTTTTTCTGGGTACATGTGTGTATATATGTAAGGGTACAGAGAAAATTCTGAAAGGATATGTGCCAAATTTTCAACAGTAGTACTCTTGCTAAGTAAGGAATAGATTGTGTGTGTATGTGTGTGTGTGTAGTATAGTGTGGGGAGTGGGTAGTAGTCAGAGACCCTGCTAATGTCAGCTGTAGAATTTTAATTTTTTAAAGCAAGGAGGGTGTGACATACTCCACATAAAATTAAAACCTAAAGCAATCTCTTGGGCCATGACATTTTTTCCTTCAAGAATCTGTAGACATCGTTTTACTGACTCTGGCACTTAACAAATTTCTTGAACAATTTTTGAATGCCAACTAGCATCATTGTACAGGGGATGCCTTAATGAGGAAAAACGGACTTCACGCGGCTTCCAGCAAACTGGGAGGCAGAGACGCTAATCAAGGAGTCAAAGAAGAAAGACAGTGGTAAGGTCTTTGAAAGGGAGGTATCCGATGCAATTTTCCTGTTGACCTGGTCTGGAGGTCAGCAAGGAGCCCCTGAAGAAGGGACTGTGACATAGAAGGGGGAAAGCACTCAGGGAGAGGGAACTGTCAGTGTGAGGTTTCTGTGACAGGAGACGAGCTTGGCACCTCTGAGGAACTGAGGGAAAGTCAACGTGTCTGGAGAGAGTGGTAAGTAGCAGCCAGTCTATGGAAAAGCCTTATAAGCCAAGCTAAGGACTTTTTGTTTGCCCTAATACCATAAGAGGCAACTGAATGGTAGAAATATGGGATATATCAGATTTGCATTACGAAGAGGTCACTCTGGGTACTGTGTGGAGAATTCAATGCAGAGGAGCCAAAGTGAAACTATGACGACAGAAAGGAGTCGATGGCAGCGTGCTGGGAGAGAGATGCAAGTTGCCTGGACTAGAAAGAGTATAGAGATGGGGGGCCGGTATATTTGAGAGACCTTTGGGAGAGAACACATACAGGACTCCATGATCAATGAAATGTGGGGGTAGGTGGTAGAGTGGAGTCCATCCAAGACAACTCCTAGTTTCTGGCCCAGGTGACTGGGATGATGATGGGGTCGTCCATGGAGGTGTCATAGGAAGAGGCCCATAGGTTTGGAAAGACTATCACAAATTTCGTTTTGGATGGGTGGAGTTCAATAATCATTTTAAATATTTAAGTGGAGATGCTGAGTAGCGGTGGTTCTGCAGATCCAGACCCAAGGGAGAGTCCGAAGTGGAGATTTGATTCTCTGACTCAGGCTACAGATTTCAGTGGAAAGCAAAACACCAGTCTTCTGAGAGCATAAAGCTCTGTACTTGGACTAGACTGCAGACAGCTGGGAACCAGAAATCAGAAAAGCCTCCTAGATTAATGTTTCCACCCTGCGATTTCTATCAAGAATGCTCCTCTGTCTGCTTTTGATGTGCGCTCAGCTAAGAAACCTTTCTTCACCTTCCGTTAGGGAAACACAAGAACCAACTTCTTGTGGGCCAGTTAACTTCACTCTGTCCCTTTGCTGACACCATTTTGGAAATGCTTTGTTTTTGTTTACAGAATGGTCTGGCTGAGAGAACAGGGAGGATAACTTGAGTTACGCAGTCTGGGAGCCCTGGAAAGGCGATCGGAGAGAGAGGATGGTTGCTTTACGAAACCAAGCTGACCAGAGAGCAGCTAAGTTGCTGCCCCACATCTGTCACTTCACGCGGACTCAGACTCTGTCAGCCCTGAATTCCTCAGGGAGCACACACCTAATTCCCTGGGAAGCGTGTGAAATGTGAGTTCATGACATCATCTGTGTTAAAGACTCAGGACTGGGAGACAGCTAGTTTGGAATGTGACTTTGGGCAGGCCGCCTCTGTGTCCTGTGAGCCGGGACAATCTGCTCTGATTAGCTATGAACTAGGTCTGCGGATGGTGGAGTGAAGGGGCTCATTACTGTCTCTGTCTCCGGGGCCATCTTGATTAGCACCAAGAAGCACTCTTTTCTCGGGGGCTAGAGAGTCTAAGCTGAAGGAACCGCTACAAACCTAAGATGTGGGGCCTGGACATTAATGCATACTGACATGAGTCCGCATGTGTATTTCTCTCAATTAGATCCCCTCTCTTCTTTGGAATCCAGCTGCCCCAGCTGCTGGCGGCGTTGTCATTAGCTGAAGGCTGACAGCACCCCTGGAAATGAGCTTATAAAGAATAAATGAACCTTGGGTTCAAACCCCTTCGGGGTCTGGCTCTCTGAAGCTAGGCAAAAATGAAAACTCAGCTGCCTAGGCTTTGCGTTATTACATTTTCTAGGTTATATTGGTCTCCAGGGGATCTGCTTGAAGCATTTCTAAGTTGTTTGTTTTGATTTTTAACTGGGGAGATCAGATTTTAAATAACCCTCAATTTTCAGAGAAGCCTCCTTTAAAATAAGAGTTATGGGCAGCAAGGTGACTATTTTAAAATGCCCCGTTCTCAGTTAGTATGCGGAGCCCCAAGCCATGGTCCTGGCTGCTGACTTGTGTGCAGCCGCAACTTTTTGCCCCAGTTAGCATTTGTTGGGTCCAACACAGCTATAGGCTGCTAGTTTTTCTGCTGCCTCATCAGCAAAATGGACAGTTAAGTTCCCATTGCTGAGGCTTTATTACTTTTGAAGATGTGAGAGGCAGAATAGAGCACAGCTGGGTCCCTGGCCCAGGTGGAGTTTGCAGGGCTGGCAGAGAGGGGAGTCAGCTTTTGACTGTGAACTGAAGACAGTTTAACCTATAGGTGATTGTGAGGGATTCTAGTATGAAACCCCCAGATGCTGGTGTCTGAATAACTGTCCTTTCGGGAGTTACACATCAGGGTTCAACACTTCCTCAGGTAAGTGTCATCAAAAAGGCCAAAGGGAAACAAGTTTTAAGAAGCTCAGCCATTGGGATGAGGCGGCTACAGTGGGTCCTGAGGCCGGACAATTCATCCACCAGTGTATTTGAGTGGCTCCCACTGTCTTGGAAATGCCCCTTCCAAGAGGCATTAGAGCTCAGTCTGACGAAAGCGGGGCTTAGGGATGGAAGCACCATGGTGATTTCTTGTTACATAATTGTGTGGGCGGAGGAGGCCTTCGAGCTTTCTAGGCTCAGGTCTTAGTTAAATCTGTGGGTAATTGTGTGTGGCCACATGTTCATGTGTTTCTATTTCCTAAAATGAATGTTTTTTTTTTAAAGATTTTATTTATTTATCTTTAGAGGGGTAGGGAAGGAGAGAGGGAGAGAAACATCAATGTATGGTTGCCTTTCATGTATCCCCTGCTGGGAAGTGGCCTGCAGGGAACTGGCCTGCAACCCCGGCATGTGCCCTGACTGGGAATCGAACCGCGATTGTCTGGTTCGCAGGCCCGTGCTCAATCCACTGAGCTACACTAGCCAGGGCCTAAAATGAATGTTTACTCCAGAAAAGACCCCAAGTGCAGAATAGCAGCACTTTCCCCGGAAGTGGATACACAACAGTCCTTTTTTTTCCACGCAGGCCCTTGCTCGAGATGGTGATTTACCAAAAGTGAGCAATTGTGCAGTTGAAAAGTCTTTAAATTAGATTGTCTTGGACATGCCGTGGAGTGTCTCACTGCAGGCCAGGTGTGTGTGCAAAGTAATGAGACTGAGGTTTAAATTTTTATGTAACGTATAAAACAGAAACAATGATTCTGAACTTTGACTTCTCTCTTCCTCAGCTTACCATAGAGTAATTAAGGCAGGCCCCCGAACACTTGGTAGAGCAACACTCTATTTTATGTGGCAATCTTTCATCAAGGGCTCCTGTTGCTTCTTCTGTACTTGTTAACCATCTCCAAGGAGGACAGGTCTCTCGTGATCTGGGGCTTGTTGAGGGAGAGGGGAGTTTTCGTCCTGGAGCCTCACTAGGCATGTAGTTGCTCTTAGAATCCTCTTGTCTCCTGAACTGAAAGGTTGGTTGGCTGCACAGTCCACTTTTTGCAGTCTTTTGTTCTCATTTTTTCCTATTTTCCAAGAAAAGAGTGGACCAGGTTAGCAACTTTCTACTATCAACAATTCCTTATTTCATTTGGTGGCTGGTTTCTGAATAAAGAGCTAATAGGAGCCTCAAAATCATCTAAATTTCTTAGTAGAATCTCAAAGCATTAGAAATTAAGAAGGGCATTAAGCAAGGCAGGCATTTCTGACAGGGAACTTGTACAAATTAGAACACGTACATTTCAGATAGCTGTGATTTCTCTTCACACTGGTCATCTTAGGAATCCATGAACTTATTCCAACAACGATGCCATTGCTCAAAATGTCCATACATCTCTACTCATGGAGTTGTCTCCCAAGCTGGTTGGCAAATCATATGACCTATCTCAAAATGATTCACTGTCTCATTTTTTAAAATCAAGACCAGTATTTTTTTTTCAGTACTGCATAGCTGGATCACTTCCACTCATCTTTATCTATCAAGATGAGCTCCAAACAACTTCACATTCTCAAAATCAAATTTATCCCCAAAGGATGAATACTTATCAGCCACTATTAATGGGATTTTAGAGAAAATGCCATAGGCTATGAAAGCAATTCCTAAAATGAAGCTCCATGAATTTTTTAAATGGCAGTCATGTTTGACTAGTGGAGATTTCTTTGGAGCAAATAATACTTGTTCAGATGTGCAAGTTCTGATAGGCTGGTTAAAAAGAGGTCTCATTTGGTTGGGGAAATGAGATAAGATGGTTTAAAACCTTATTTCATTTGAGAAAAATGTTCCCTAGCTTTGCCAGTGAACACAGGGAAAGTATTAAGCATCTCTAGATTTCTGATTCTTTACTTTGAAAGTGAAGAGTTTAGATTAGAAAATCCCTAAGGACTCTTAGTTTCAACACACCACAATTCATTCATCAAATATTTATTGGGCAACTACTCTTAAGTATCAGATGCTGTTCTAGAAAAAGTGTTACAAAATTCTTGTCCTAAAAAAATCTCAAAATCTATCCAGGAATGTGGATGATGCACAATTAAAAATCATCAGTATTGTCAGATGATATCCTACCATCTATTATTTTATACAACATAATATAATATTTATTGCTGTGTAAACTGGCTACTCGTTCACCACATATTTTTCTTTTCTTCCCAGGGACTCTTTTTCCAGACTCCTTTGTAATTAATTAGGTGAAGCCAGGTGACAAGAGCCTGGCTAATTGATGTCGGCAGAATTGACACTCTAGAACTGGTCCATGAAACCCTCCCGTGTAATAGAGAGAGACCGCCACAAAGCAGGAGAAGTGCAGAGCCTAAAAAATGAAGGAGGCTGGGGCCCTGAATGCCTGTGTGAAACTAGGGTTCACCCATACATCCTGACAACCTGCACTGGACTGTAGTATGAGGGAGAAACAGCATTTACTGGGTTAGTCCACTCCCATTTAGGGATAGGTGGCTATGATTGTTAGGTTTCCCTGCTCAATGCATTTGTCTTTCGGAGGAAGATGGTGGTGAAGGCAGATAGCTGTTATCACAGTGCCTCAAGTGGTCAAAGAGCTAAAGTGAGTCCTGGGGGCAGGGGGACCAGCTATGAAAGGAAGATCAGCGCAGAAAGAGGGTGGAGGGAGAGAGCAGCGAGGAACTGACAATAGCGTAATTATTAGAGTAGCTGATTGCCTAGCCCCAGGATGTCTGTCTACAAAAGAAATTACTTGGGGAGGCGGGGAAATGGTCTATTCAGCAGTAGTAGAGGTAATGGCCACTGTTTGAAATTAATCAGTTACTCATGAGAATTCTGCAGACAATTCACCAAGTCACAATTGTCCGACCTAGACAATTGGCATGATTGTCTCCTAATGTCTTCTACCCTGGCCTCTGTCTCTGCTGCCACACTGCCTTTGTGACTCATGACTCTTTTTTTTTTTTAAAGATTTTATTTACTTATCTTCAGAGGGGAAGGGAAGGAGAGAGGGAGAGAAATATCAATGTATGGTTGCCTCTCATGTGTCCCCTGCTGGGAACTGGCCTGCAACCCAGGCATGTGCCCTGACTGGGAATTGAACTGAGATCGCATGGTTTGTGGCCTACGCACAGTCCACTGAGCTACACCAGCCAGGATGTGACTCATGACTCTTGTGAGAGCCATTCTCCTGGGCACAACTGTCCTCCCCAGGTGACCATCATTGATGTTTTCTCTCTGGCCCTGGGGGAGAGGAAATACTGCTTTCCTCTTGTCTAAACATCCCCCCAAAAAACAAGTGTTCAGGTGAGGGGGAAACTTCCCTTGCAAGTCCCCCCGAGTGCCATGGATGAAAGTGAATGTGACCGAGATATGATGTGATCTGCTTGGGGAGGAGAAGTGGCCATTTTCCCAGAGGAAAAAGGCTGTAGGCTGGTGGCCAGTTTTTCCTAGGAGAAAAAGGCCTCAAGCCCCCTCCTCCATAGCCTTTTACTGGGTTCTAATACACAAGAATACAGGGTGGCAAGGATCAAACAGTAGATAACATTTCAAAGAAATCTGAGAGCTTAGTATGAGTCAGTCTGTCAGGAACAGAGTTTTAGGGTTTCCTGCTCAAACCCTTAACATATGAATGAAAGCACTCTTAGCAGAGCAGATTTCACAGATTTATCAGGAAATCTTTGTGATGCCAGATTTTTCCCCAGGACAAACTCTAGCAAGGTAAGGAGCTGTACCTCTCCCCATCAGGTATTCAGGCTTAAGGGGATTACAGTCAGGAAGCCCTTCTCCCAGAGAACATGAGGACTTGGGCTATGTCAAAACCGGGGGGATTTGAGTCCATTGCTCTTTGTTGCAGCCCCCCCATCCCCAGTCCTTCCACAAAGGCCTTCCAAGTGATTGAGTCTGGCTTAGATTGCCCCCTGCTGTGAGGGGTCTTACCCGTCATTGACTTCTGACCAAGCTTTGGGGGCAGGGAGAGGAACTGAGGCAGTGTTTGCTACCAGAGACAAGCTTTGTCTCCTGCAGCTGGCATTCCAGAGGTTGTCCCTCGCCCTTAGCCACAAGGGGTTGAGATACAATTCCTAGAACCAGGCAGAGCAGTCTACATTTGGAGCTTCTGATTCAAGATGTAAAAACTGCTCACTCATGGGCACCCCTTCTACCTGAGACCTGGTTGAAATTTCAGGACTTAGAGAAAACAGAAAAAGGAATAAGCTTATAATGGCAAAGAGTGTGGGAAGAGATATCATTGGTGAATAGATTATTTTAAGAAATCCACAGAAAGGGATATTGAAATGCGTTGCTTAGTGAGCAAAGCAGAAGAAGCCACAGTGGGTCTTGCAGAAGAGGTAGAAGCTGACCTTTTCTGTGAAACCCGTAGGAGGTCCTGCACACTGCGTCAATAGTTATAGAGGGTAATAGTGAGAGGGAGGTGAAATGAGAAGCATTGGTTGGAGAGCTGCAGAAGTCAGCCCATTCTCCCCTTCTCCTTCACCTCCTGCCATGGAACAACCAGGGGATTGCATTTACTTCAAGACTAAAACACAAATAAAAGCCAAAAACAAAAAGCCGGACAAACCATAACTGAAATAGATTCTCTTTCTCTAAATAGAGAGAACAATCTATAGAGACCTAAGACATTTGACGAATATTGCTGCCCCAGAATTTAGCATTTTTTCTTCTGGAATTTGGGCACATTGTCCTTCACTGAGCACCTTGAAGCAAAGCCTGCCATTAAACCTATCCCACTCAGATGCACACAGGTAACAGTTGGCCAAGGCAGGGTTCTGTTGGGGGAAGTAATTGTACAGACCTATAAAGCAGCAGACGGGAACTGTACCAGCTACCTAGAATGACCAGCCTTGTCCCTTACTCTTGATTGTGAGTGAACAGTACATGAGGAAGAAGAGCAGTATGTAAAAGAAAGACTAAAACAA